TGCCGCCGCTCCACGTCGCACCAGCCGCTGCCACGCCCCAACCGAAGGCTCCAGAAGTTCCAACGCCAGCCGTCCACGTTATGGCCCTAGGGTGAGTCACCACTGGGAGTCCGGTGACTCACCCGACTCCACTCATTTACCCGGTCCGATGGCCACACCGGTGATGGCTATAAAAACATCACCCCATCTGCAAAGAAGAAAAAGAGAGCCAACAGACCCCAGAGAGACAAAACCGAGAGCAAAAGATACAAAAATAGAGACCAAATCACAACAACCAGCAACCAAAAACAAAAGAAAAGGGAGGAGAGAAGCTTACCGAGGAAGCCACGACCACCGGACCTCTTCAAACGTCACCAAAACCTTCGGAAATCGAAGGTACTTTCTTAGATTTGCTCCGATTGGGAGCTTTTTAAAAGAAAGGAACACCGGAACCGTCATTAGGACGGTCCGATCTACATAATGGTGTAAAAATAAATTTTTCCGGCCACCGGAGGCGGTGGTCGGCGGTGAGAATCACGGCGGCAGACGGCTGCCGCCCGGTGACCGGCTTCCCTCCGATGAGGGAAGCTAGAGAGAAGGGAGAGCATTTCAATTCTCTCTCAGTTAGAGAGAGAAATAAAAAAAATGTGAGAGCTGGCCCGAAGGGCCAGCCGGTTTCGGGTTTAAATAGCCCTTCCCAAACGACGTCGTTTCGGGGAGGGCTATTTGTGTAATTTTTAAAGGTTAAATCCTTTCCGTAGTCATCCTAATTTGTAAACTTTACATTTTAGTCACTAAATCAATTTATAATCCTTTTAATTCGGTTCTTTAATTTTAATTTTATTTATTTTAGTCCTTTATATTAAAATAATATATTTAGGGTAAATAACAGATTTAGTCAGTTATTTTAAATAATTAATATTTTAATCTGAATAGTATGTTTTAATTTATTTTAATCTAATATCCGAATTTTATATAATTTTATTTTAGTCACTAAATTAATAAATAAAGAAATAGCATGTTTAATCCCTATAATTTTGATTAATTATAAATTAGGTTTTTAATTTTAATTTTATTATAATTTAGTCACTAATTTTAAAAATTTTCATTTATTTTACTGCTTTTAAATATATAGTTCTAATTATATTTTTATCATTTTAATTTTACTTGTTTATACATTTAAATATTTTTATTATTATTATGTAGTCATAAATATATATATATAATAAATAATAATTTATATTTTTTCAATATATTATTTTAATATTTATTTTTCAATATCGAAGAAAAGGGCAGTCTTAATACAACTGGATGTCCTATTCTGGTATTTTAAAATTAAATATTATAAAAAATTATTATTTAATTTTATTTAAAATAATATTTATTAATATTAAAGAAAAGAGCTGTCTTAAGACACCTAGAAGTCCTTTTCTGATATTTCTAAATAAATAAATATTTATTTATAAAATATATATAAATTATTTTTTTCTCATAATTATAATTTTGAAATAATAGGATTATAAATTAAATATATTTTGAATTTTTAATTTTTAATAATAGAGACAATTTATAATTAAAAAAGTACCAATTTTGGGCGTTGTAGGGGTGCTAATCCTTCCCTAAACGTAACAGACCACGAATCCCTTTTTATTATTAAAAAGAACGAATTTTTGTTTAAAACGCAGATCAGTTTATCTTTTAATTGATGTTTTCTTAAAAACTCTTTTAAAAGATATTTTTTAGGTATTCGACCTACCTAACCCAAAAGGCCGATGGCGACTCCCAAATTATTTTCAAAACCATTTATTCACATCACTTTTCCCGTCAAGTAAATATTTCGTGCCCAGACGAAAACCGGTTACGACAAGTACATTCTTATGTAAACATATATAACTTACACACATTTAATCTAAACTATAATATATGCATGTTCATGCTATTATACTATGACATTTACCTTGAAAATAGACTTATCACAAGTCTTATTTCCATTACCTTATACCTATATTATGCACTCACCTTAGCCTTGCTTGCTTTTATTTGATTCTAATCTCTCGATTGTTCCGGAACAATATTACGCTCTAAATCTACATAGTAATACATTAATACATATCAATATACTAATTAATATATTCTAAACTATCACTCTTTAGACTAAAAAGAAAGCAATTTTAATGTTTTAATGAAGGTATGCATCGATGCACTACACCATGTATCGATGCATCCCTTGACGGGTGCATCGATGCACTATCTATGCATCGGTACATAAATCTCATTCGATGTTTGTATTTTAAGGGGATGCATCGATGCACTACTTGTGCATCGATACTCTGATGGCATTCGATGTTTTTATTTTAAATGAGTGCATCGATACACTTTGAATAATTTTTGGGATTTTACCCTTGATACATCGGTACACATTGAATGTGCATCGATGCACATAGCCCAGAAATGTTATTTTTTAGCACGAAATCCCTTCATAATCCCCTCAACACTACATAATTCACCTCCTTTTATATCTCTAACTTGCATACACTTACTTAAACTAATTATTATCCATTCAATACCTCTAAAACTTAGAAATCCAATCCTCCATATAGAATTTAAGAATCTCACTCAAATTCCAACATGTTCTAAATCTAATTCTAACACTTCATATCCCTTAATTAGCTTGATGACAAGTCAAATCTCACTTCCCATGCTTATTATGAACTCTATTTCAAGATTTTATTTTTCTACTTCATTTCTTAAATTCTTCATATACTCCTCATCTTGTGGTTTTAAGATAACCTAAGCTTTCTTTAAGCTTATTTATCATCTAATGATCATAACCTAATCTTAAATTCAGTTAAATAGCAACCAACAAGAAATCTTACCTTTGCTCTTGGCTTCCACACGTGAAGAAGAAAGGAGAATAAGAGAACTCTGGAAACTAGAACCTTGTCTCTCTTCATTTCCACGTGTTATATCATATATAAAGGAGGAAAAACAATCTTTCTTCTTGTGGAATTACTATTATACCCTTATACATTCCATAATTATCATCTAATCCAATAAGAAATTATTCCTATTTAAGTTATTAAACTTTTAACTTGTTTCAAAATCGAGCACATAATTTTCAAAATTTATAATTTAGTCACTTACCCTAATTTGGGATGTTATAATTCTCCCCTCCTTTAAAGAAAATTCTTCCTCAAATTTTCACCGCACATACACTAAGAACATATATTTTAATGTTCTTATGTTGTTTTCTTTACTTAATATTTCATTCCTTTAGTTCTTTAACTACCTTTTTCTTTTATATATCATTATTATGTCACTTATCATATAACCAATAACATCAGTTTTTATTACTCAAAATCATAAATCACTCAAATTCTTTATCAATCTTTAATTGCCTTGCAATAATAACCAACTTTTATTCCATCATCACTTATCTACTTCTTAATTTCCTTAATACATATAAATCATTCTTTATTTCTCTGACTAAGTCTGCTTGACCAAGAAACATAACCTTTATCACATCTGATTCTTTAAACTTTATCCTTTCATTTCCTTATTCCATTATTCCTTTATTCATTCAAAATCAAAATCTCCTTATACACAAATCATATCTTTTCTTTCATGCTTACATACTCTTTTCCTATCACTTATGCTCATCTCTGATTACTGATCTTTATCACCTCTTTATAACTTTAAAAATCAACACTCCTTGCATAAATCTTATTCTTTGTAAAGTTCTTGTTCGAATCACAATACACATATCCTTAACTTCCTTCAAACATATTAATCCTTATCTCTTTCACTACATCACATTTACATAATCAAATACATAACCATTTACAAATTTACGCCATACTCTGTTAGCTTAACATGACATCAACTTTAATCTTTAACTACGTTATTCATCACTTAACATTGTCAATTTGCAACAGTTCTTCTAATCATATACATTCTTTCCGGTAGAAACTAACTCGATATTAATTTATTTAACTCATTCAACTCACATTCGTACTCATTCACAATGCAAATTTCATGCGTTCAAACTCAAGCATCACAATTTCATCTTATAAAACAATCATCAATGTACCCATTCTTAAACCCTTGCAAAACAGTACGTATCTCACTTGATTCTTTTAAAATAATTTTTCTTTACATAATTTCTAGCAAAACTTTTAATCCAATCCATTACTTTCCTTTCTAAACTTAATTTTATATACATTCTTAACTCCTTATCTAATCTTCTAGTACCATACTCTACTATTCAAGCGTATCCTTCTTTCATCAAATTTTTTATCCTTTGATATGTGATACAACTAATTCTAACCAAGGTTGTATTTGAAACCCAACATACTAGTTCTCTTAATCCTTATGAACTTTCTCCTTAGAACTTTAGCACTATAACACTCCTTCCATCTGGGCACAACCCATTCACAAACCACTTACATACCTCATATTCACTTAATTTAGCATAACAACAATTCATTCAGTTTATAAAACTGTACTCTTATCCATACACGTTACAATTCCCTTGTTTCAAATTCATAAACTCTATCTCCATATATTTATACACTTGTCACAGATGCACTTATTCTTGAGATCTTCTACAAATACTCACCACATCATTTACATACTAACTATATAACTAGTCCATCTCCAATATTATTTCCAATCCCTTGAAAAATAACTCTATTGGATTAACAGAGAATTCAATTCCCTGAATCCAAGTGGAACACCTTCCACATCTTGTTTACTTGAGCACTGCGCCCTACTAAATTTGTCACTTTAATATTACTACAAATGACTTCTATCTAGATTCTCAATTCTCTCACCCATTCACTACTCATATATAGATATGCAACTCGGATCAACCAATATCATAACACATTTATTGTACAATAAAAAAATACCTGCTACTATCTTTGGGTCATCACAGTCCTCATTGATCTTGAGATTATATACTCTAGCCGTGAAACATATTTCCTGTTGAGTAGAAGATTCTGCCTGATTTCTTCCTCTACCTCTACCGCGTCCTCTATGAGACATCGAAGAAGATCGCTCTGACTGTACAGGCTCTCCAGCCCTCAACGGACAATCCTTCATATAATGCCCTGTTTCTCCACATCGGAAACAAGCTCCGATGATCACTCTACACAATCCATTATGGCTTCTTCCACAAATCTGACATTGTATAATTTGACTCTGATGTGCCCGCTTATCGCCATACCTTCCAGACTGAGTTTGTTTAATTCTCATTTGATTTGATTCCTTAACGGAGGATGCCATCGATTCTGAAGGTGCTTGAGATCGAAAACCCGAATCTCTACCTTTCTTGGGTGGTACCATGCTCAATGAAACCCCATTTCTCTTAGAAGATTGATCTCTCTGCTCCTCAAACCGTTCATTTTGAGCTCTTTCAAGAGCTTTTGCATGATTTACTACCTCTTGAAACGAGGACAAATTTAACACGATTAACATATCTTTTAATCTCGGGCGCAAGCCCTCTACAAACTAATCACACGCATCTTTCTCGGTTGGAATCAACTCAGTTGCAAAACGACTTAACTTGTTAAACTCACACTCATACCCATACACAGTACGATTCATCTGCTTCAAATTCAAAAATTCTTGCTTTATTTTCCTGATGAACTGATCTCCTATATACTTGTGCTTAAATTCTTCCAAAAACAAATACCAAGTTATCTGATCACTTGGCATCCTCAAAGTGACATTCGTCCACCAAATTCTCGCTTGCCCACGCAGCAAGGAGACTACTCCGTCTAACTTTTCCATATCATAACAATGGAGTCCTTCAAGCATGATTTTCGCATCGTTAAGCTAAATGTCTGCAACAACTGGACCTTCCTCGGCTTCACCTTTGAACTCAGGAGCTCCTAATCCCTTTAACTCTTTTAGCACATTCATTCTTTGTGTTGAGGAGACATGAGGTTGGAAACATGTCAATACCGCGTCCAGCGTTCTAAAGAACACATCTTGATCAGCTACAGGCACTCCAGAAGGTGCCTGTTCTTCACCTTGTCTGACCAGAGCAGGTGAATTACTACTCTCAGTTAATCTTTTATCTCCTGCTTCACCTCGGGAGCTATCTTGTCCGGACATCTAATAAAATATAACCAAATAAGTCTATTAGCATGACAACATACTTATTACTCAGATCAGATCAGAAGTTATCACTACTATGTTGGCTTGTATATATCTAACGACACACTAGACTCAGGTTTATGCCTAGAATCGGCTAAACCGTAGCTCTGATACCGTTAAATGTAATACCCTAACCCGTATACGAATCTAAGGTTTCACATTGACTTTTCAAAGCTTGTGTATTTCTAAAACCAACCTAAATTTAAAACTTTCATGAATAAAACTATGTTTACATTACCACTTCAAAACATTACACCTTGATCAGAGCGTATATACTATATGACTCTATTTACATGCCAACACATATAAAATATAAACCAATATACTACGTTAGGTGCTTCTGATATGATCTTCAAATGTGGATATGTTGTTCTGCTGATCCCTGAGACCGGTCTTTTTGCTTTTTTGTTCCTACGTGTAAATCACTTACACGCTAAGTCACAGACTTAGTGAGGCATACTAAAATATATAATACACTTATAACATGTCACATTATATGCATACTATATTCCATCATATTATCCAACCTCATTTCATTTGATCCTTTTAGACTAAATCATCTCAAATTACATATCAATACATAAATACATATGCGTAGATCATTATTAATCTCCTTATTAATTCATGTGCATACGTGATTCAAATCAAGCAATGGTAACATGATAAAATACAATCATACAAACTCTTTTCATATATTTTATAGGCCCATGTACATTGCTGAGAACTTAAGGTATACGAGTACATTGAGGTTGTGTACTATGCTGTCATCACAGCTCGTATGGGGTCCTACTAGGGGCATGTGAAAGTTGTTCCGAAGGACCTATGTATATCCCGAAGGATCTCTGTATGTCTCGAAAGACCTATGAACCCTCAACTCTTGGCATGCCAACTATACTTATGGTTCTCACATTACATAACATGGGCATTGTTATTGTATTTATTATTTATTTCTATCACATAAGAATAAACTTATAGCTCTTTATCACACATCCTGTAATACTCTTATAGAGTTCCCTGTTTCCTTATCATATATTTCATTTCACATGTTCTTATTTTCATATGATTACGTAGTTCATATCACTTAGTATTCTCCATATGCACATATCACATTCATATTTCATAGTCATATAAGTTCATAAATTTATATATATATCTATATTATGTAACATTCACTATAATATATAAACACATATGCAGATAATCATCCATCTCATATTCTACCATACAAGAATTTGAGTACATTCTTATGTAAACATATATAACTTACACACATTTAATCTAAACTATAATATATGCATGTTCATGCTATTATACTATGACATTTACCTCAGAAATAGACTTATCACAAATCTTATTTCCATTACCTTATACCTATATTATGCACTCACCTTAGCCTTGCTTGCTTTGATTTGATCCTAATCCCTCGATTATTCCGGAACAGTATTACGCTCTAAATCTACATAGTAATACATTAATACATATCAGTATACTAATTAATATATTCTAAACTATCTCTATTTAGACTAAAAAGAAAGCTATTTTCATGTTTTAATGAAGGTATGCATCGATGCACTACACCATGTATCGATACATCCCTTGACGGGTGCATCGATGCACTATCTATGCATCGGTACATAAATCTCATTCGATGTTTGTATTTTAAGGGGATGCATCGATGCACTTCTTGTGCATCGATACTCTAATGGAATTCGATGTTTTTATTTTAAATGAGTGCATCGATACACTTTGAACAATTTCTGGGATTTTACCCTTGATGCATCGGTACACATTGAATGTGCATCGATGCACATAGCCCATAAATATTATTTTTTAGCACGAAATCGCTTCATAATACCCTCAACACTACATAATTCACCTCTTTTTATATATCTAACTTGCATACACTTACTTAAACTAATTATTATCCATTCAATACCTCTAAAACTTAGAAATCCAATCCTCCATATAGAATTTAAGAATCTCACTCAAATTCCAACATGTTCTAAATCTAATTCTAACACTTCATATCTCTTAATTAGCTTGATGACAAGTCAAATATCACTTCCCATGCTTATTATGAACTCTATTTCAAGATTTCATTTTTCTACTTCATTTCTTAAATTCTTCATATACTCCTCATCTTGTGGTTTTAAGATAACCTAAGTTTTCCTTAAGCTTAGTTATCATCTAATGATCATAACCCAATCTTAAATTCAGTTAAATATCAACCAACAAGAAATCTTACCTTTGCTCTTGGCTTCCACACGTGAAGAAGAAAGGAGAAGAAGAGAACTCTGGAAACTAGAACCTTGTCTCTCTTCATTTCCACGTGTTATATCCTATATACAGGAGGAAAAAAAATCTTTCTTGTGGAATTACTATTATACCCTTCTACATTCCATAATTATCATCTAATCTAATAAGGAATTATTTCTATTTAAGTCATTAAACTTTTAACTTGTTTCGAAATCGAGTACATAGTTTTCAAAATTTATAATTTAGTCACTTACCCTGATTTGGAATGTTACAGACGATATTCTTTATTGTTATTTTTCCCCAATAATTCAGTTTGTATGACCCATTTTCATCTCTCTTTAGACACATTTTTCTATACCTTTTGGTAGTCATTTGATAATTGTGTTCACTTATATTTTTTCAAAGGATTGATTTTAAAAATCATTACGACTGATAAAGATGACATTTAATATTTATATTGTTGATTTTTCTTGTTTGAGACTCTTGGATTGAATTTGGATACCGATTATGCATTCACGTATAATTTTTCACGTCGCTCGAGTTTGATTTACGATTCGTCGGTGATCTTTTAGTATGTCGATGAGATCTGTTTATATTTATATTTGTTTGAATTTTTTAGTTAGATTTAATTTTTGTTTGTTTGGTCCTTATATAATCTTAAATTATTAATTTTGTTTTCATAATTTTAAAAAATATTTTTATTATATGCTTAATTTAAGATGATCATATCTATTTGTATCTATATTTATTCGAGTTTCTTAACTTTCTTAATTAGGTTTTAATATTTCTTTGTATGGTCTTATATATCTTAAGTTATTAATTTTATAAAAATATATTTTAATTATATGCTTAATTTAAAATTGTAATTATAAATCTTTAATATAATTTAGAATTTAGAATATATTCTATATTTTCTATTTTGAATAAAATCCTTCATCCAAGGTGAAAGTGAAAAACTGCTACACCATAAAGTTATGATTACATCATAATAAAGTAAACTTAGCAAGATGGTAGGCCGATTGATTACCGGCTCCCAAAATATGTTCAAAAACCAGAGCAATGAAATTGATCGAAGGAGAATCTCATTCATCATATTCTCCAGGTTTACTGCTATGAAATCACCGTCACAATTGAATCACTCCCGAATGCAGCACGCATAATCCGCCTCTCCATAAGCCATCTAATACCGAGAGGACTGCCCTAGTCTACGACCACCAAAACCAATTTAGTTGACCTCTAATACACAGGCAGCCCTATGCCCTAGCTTCCGTCACCATGAACCACCGAGAAGGATTGTCCTAGGCCCTAGCTTCCGTCACCATAAGCCACCGACAAGGATAGCCCTAGGCCCCTAGCTTCCACCATAAGCCACCGAGAAGGTTAGCCCTAGGCCCTAGCACCAAGAAGAGCCGCCCTATATTCCACCATGAGCGTGTGTGCCATTGCCCATAAATATATAGCCGCAACAAATGTCCCAACTTCATCTCGTGAAACTGCACAAAAAAACCCATGTAGTTAGCTTCATAACGTGGAGGCTTGGACCGTTTAACCGAGTAGGGATAATTTGTACGGTCAATCTCAATAGTCAGCCTGCCGTTTGCCTGCCATTGATACGACTTTCGAGTACTTGGAAGATCGCTAACTGTTTAACAAGGCGGGGTTAAATCCATGGTTTGGTCCTTGAATTAAATATTTTCTATAGATTTAGTATCTAAATAAATGATTAACTGATTGAGCATCCTTAGTTATTGTTACAACTAAGGGTGAGTATTTAATTGCGTCGTGTCTAGTCAAAATTTTTTTAAGTTAGTTAAATTGATTAGTCTTATATTATAATTCAATTTTTTATATTTTTTCCAAATCGAGTCGAATTTAGTTGTTCGAGTTTCTGTTTAAATATAATTATAAATATTTATAATGTTATGATATTAATAAATTTCAATTTAAATGTATTTCTATAATCACATATAATATACATAAATATATATCTTCATATTTTTTTCATATAAGATATATATATATATATATATATATATATATATATATATATATAACATGCATTGATGTAGAGTTGAGAAATTAGACTTGAACTTGAAAACAATGGGCGAATAAAATTCGATTCGACTCAGAAAACCAATTTTTTTTACTCGACTCAAATTGACTTCGCGTTGTAATTTCATAAACTCGACTCAACTCAAAGAAATTTCAAGTTCAAATCGAGATGTAAAATATAACTCGAATAACTTAAATCTTTTAGTAATTAATGAATGAATTTTTAAGTTTGAGTCGAGTCCCTCGAATTTGTATGATATATGTATATCACATATAGAAAATATGAAGATATATATATATATATATATATATATATACATGGTTATAAAAAATCATTTAAATTTGATTAAAATAATATCATACTATTATAAATATTTAAAATTAAATTTAAACAGAAACTTGAAGATTTAACTCGACTCGAAAAAATTTCAAGTCAACTTCGAGTTATACAATAGGACTTGTCAATATGAATAACTCAAATTTTTTTTACTCTACTTGATCAAACGCTCACCCATATTGAAAACCAATCGATTAATTATTAAATTTTTTGAGTTATCGAGCCATATTTTATAACTCGATCTAAATTTGAAATTTTATTAAATCAATTTTATAAAATTATGAATCAAATTAAATCAAACTTCGTAACGCTG